CTCGGGCTAGTTTCACACACACTTTTGACTCAAGTACGACTTCTAAAAATATGCCACCCTCACTTTAAAAATAGTAGGATGTGTTAGCAGCTGCCAATGGTGACCAATGGGTTTCCAATTTTAAGGTAAGATGTTAATTCTCATCAGGAAATATTTAGTTGCCATTTGACTGGTCAACTGTGCAGGATTCCAGCGTCAGATTTCTGTGTAAGAAGTTTTGATTGTGGAGGGAGTGAGAGAGTCCAAGTGCTTTCCTTTGAAATGCGGTGGAGAGCGAAGAGGGCTCTAAATGGCCTCTCAGGAGACATTTGTGCTCACTCTAAGAGTTCCACTCCCCACACGGTTGCAGACCAAGGCGAGACCTGTGTGTGTGTGTGTGTGCGCGCGCGCGCGCGCATCGGGGGTTGGGGGATTCTAATATCTGACCAGTGTTCTGCCCACTGGGTGCCCTGACAACTGATGACATCACCATGGGTTTGGAGACATGCTAGGAAACAGAGTTAACGTCTGTATGTATGAGCATTGCAGTGTCTAAAGCTGTAGCTATGCCGCTGCTTGTTAAAAGCTTGGCTGGATGCTTTACGCCGTGAACTTGGCACTAGTCTTACCCCGTTGCTCTGCTGCGATGGCTTTTTGTGTATTTTAGCTTTCTCTACTTTGTGTATGTCTCTCTCCCTCCCCCTTTTCTTGTAATGCTGTTGCTTTGTCTCTCTTCCATTCATATTTTTTTCCCTTTCCTTTTGCTGCATGGAGACTCTCTGCTGTACAAGTGTAAGTACCCTCCAGCGGCACTGCGGTCCCTGGCTGCCTGCGCTGCTCCGCATTCTCACGCCCCATTTGCTTCTGCACTGCCTGGCTGCTCTCCCGGGAGATGTTGTCTTTCCATCCGCAGATCCTGAATGAAAGAGGCAATAATTTAGAAGCAGGATGGGGGTGGACCAGATGGTTCAGTCTTAAATAAACCAGGGGATGAATTGAGAATCTCCCCAGCTGGGTGCCTGAGAGTAAGAGAACTTTGATGAAGAGGTTGCCACATTTGAGGGGAGGGAGGAGGAAGTTCTCAAGACTCAAGGAGCAAATGCCCAAGTGTTTCTCACCCTTGTCATATTGCTTGTTGCAGGCCCAGGATTATAGAATATTGGCAGTATGATTTGTTTCTCAGATTAGACATTACTAAGCTGCTTCTCAACTGGTACTGGTTTGGGATGGTATTTTTTTTTTTCCTGAAGAAAGAAAGAAAAATAATTTTGGGTTCTTGAGCTTAAATAAAAGGAATGTTTTTAATAAGGGAAATACCTTATCCTATCTTCACGGTGATTTGAGCAATTTTAGTTTCATTTTTAAAAATTAGTGTGCTTAGGGATCACCTGGTAGAAGTGGGTCTGAGTGGGAGACGCTGCTGTGAACCAAGTTCTATCTTTACTTTGCAAACCGTGTTGACAGTGGACAAATCTTTGTTGAGCTACAGGCAGAATGGTTTTACACGTTATAAAAATTGGATCCAATGAGTAAGATTTCCAAGTACTATAGATATCCGTGCCACTTTTGGCCTCTTCAAAAACAGCCATGGTGTGCCGCTGTTCCCGCTTATATAGCACAGTGCGGATTTATTGGCACTTATGGTATCAAGATGAAAAAGTCTATATTTAGGGCTTCCTTCTAAAATTGCATTTTAAAATGAAGATTTAACATATTTTTTTTTCTTCTCACTCGTAGAATGCATTTTTAAAAGTTAGTTCTGTCAGGTCTTAAAGATAGTCTGCTCCTAGCACTTCAGCGGCCCTCGCCCTTCATCTGATGAGCACTTTGGGATTTCCTCGACTCAGGAAGTTGCTTGGCCGTTGACAGTGAGCAGGAACAGTGGAGGGAACTGGGGCACGGTGAAGGAATTAACCCTTGTGTTTTGGCACAAAAGAAGAAGAGCATGCGCAGTCCTAAGCACAGCCGCTGCCATCCCGCCTCCCAGAATGCAGCTTATCAAACCTAACCATTGCGAGGAGGAAGGAACAGGGCAAACCAGTGGGTTTCTAGAGACGCTGGAGTATTTGCTGCTAAATAAGTCCTTGTGCAGAAAACCTGTCCATCTGTACATGCCCTTGCCTAGGAGCTATTGGATGGAGTCATAAGATAAGCAAGGGAGATTGAGCAAGTCTGTATTTTCCATAAAACTAAGAAAGAAAGCATTGCAAAGAAAAGGCACAGCTTGTGAGAGGTGGGGCTCCCTTCTCTGTTTCTTTCTGTGTTCTCTATAAACCTTATGAGAGAAAGAGACTGAAGCCATTGGCATCGAAGGGGCTTTTGTTGTTTTGAGACAGGGTCTGTGTGTAACCCCCTAGCTTCAAACCTGCAGCGCTCCCTCTGCTTCAGCCTCTTGATGGTGGGATTGCAAGCCCGAGGGAGTACCCAGGGTTTGGTCTCGTTCTTGATGCCAGGTGTGAGGTGCAGATTCTCACTTTAGCAAAAAAAAAAAAAAAAAAAAAAAAAAAAAAAAAAAAAAAAAAACAAAGCTTGGGAACCAGCAGAAATGGTAAGATAACAGAAGACTTTTTTGGAGAAACATAACTGGCAGTTCTCTGCTCATAGAGGGTTCATTCAAAATGCAACACTGCAATGGAAAATACTAGAAGACATTCTCTCCTCCCCCACCTGACATTTGGAACTTAATACCAGGCTTTGAAACATTGGAAAATACAATCATAATGACAAAACTACTTCCATCCTGGTCCGTGTCAGCCGAAGAAATGCCCAGTGACTTTCAGGTTTCTATGTGTCTCCAAAATTAGATCACGCTAAATGAAGTATTTACAGATGGGTCACTAAGTTAACAAATGAGTTTCTTTCTCTAGATAGTATCTATTCTTCATCTGTACGCGAAATAATATGTGTCCCTTTTCAAATATTAAAGCTACTGTATGGACATAATGTTACACTTTTGACACATTTGACACTTATTTCTTACCTATCATACTGGGTTTAAAGAGAGGGAAACCCTAGCTATTTTGTCTGTGAATGCTCTCTGTGAAAAACAAAAACAAAAACAAACAAAAAACCAAAAACAAAACCCTAACCCTGAGGCACAAGAAGGACATAAACTAGCAGGTATCCTCCACATGTGCATCTTAAACTTCTTTCCTAGTTATGATTACCTGAATGAAATTCTATCCCAAGCTTAGTTTGTCTTGCTTTTAATGTGTATTTCAGACAGGGTCTTGTGTAGTCGAGGCTTGCTTCAAACCTGCTGTCAGTCAGTCCAGGCTGGCCTTGAGTTTGCCATCATCAGTGGACACCTTATGCCTTGTTTCTGGCTTACCTGTTGAGCCTCTCCCTACCGAGATTGTGTGGGAGGTCTCTAAGACTTGCTAAATACAAATGTGTCTTCGCAGCGGCTCTCCTTTTAAACAGACGTCTACTGGCTTTTTGCTGAATCTTAGGAGTGGGTTGCTTCCCAGGCCACTCCTGCTCTGCAGGCTCTGCGCCTCACACACAGTCTGTGAGCTTCCCACTCAGCCTGGCTGCCTCCAGCAAGTCACACCGGTTGTTTAGGAAAGCCGTTATTTGTGTGAATCTCATCACTCGATTTTCCTCTCCTTGTTTCCCCAACATTTAGTAGCAAATGGGTGGAGTTGTTTTTTGTTTTTTATTTTTTATTAAAACCAGGGTAACTGTCAAAACTGAAAAGTTGTTTGCTTTTCCAGGCTGGTATAAACCAGTTTATTCTTTTAAAGAATGTAGACTTTGAGGAAGATTTAGCTGACAACAATTTCATCAAAATATGCAATACTCTTTCAGCTCTGTTTTCTCTTCATTTGTATGTGGGTCTGTTTTTTTGAGCCAGGCTTGGTAGTACCTGCCTGAAATCCCAGCACATGAGTCTGAGTCAGGAGGACTGTGAGGTTGAGGCTAACCTAGGCTACATAATAAGAACTTGTCTCTCCCCACCCCCCCCCAAAAAAAAACCAAGAAAATGTGAAGTTAAAACAAATTAGTATCATGCTGGTTTAAACACAGCTGCACACCATCGTCAGTACTGGTAGCAATGGCACAGAGGGAAGACTACGAGACTGGCCCCCATCCCCGGTTTTTGTCCTGGCCCAGATCCTCTAACAGCTCAGATTTGTTAGTGTTTATCCCTCATCCCGTGACTTGGTATTGGCCTTAAGTTTGTCTGTATAGCTGCTGCCGGAGGTTCTTCCCAGCCTCACCAACTGTGTATCTTCTGAGGGAGACAGCTCTGGGTGGTAGTGGATGGTCCACACTGGCTGACGGCACTGGTGATGGGTACAGGGCCCATGCCAGATGGCAAGTGCGGGGTTGATCTACCCTGGATGTCAGGTGCAAATGGTGACTACTGGTCTGTGGTGAGTGATGGATGCTCCATACTTGATGTCAATACTTGGAAGATGCCCTCAAGTTTGACCTTGGCTTGGGATTTATTTTTAAAGGGCTCCGGCAGGATCTTAAGCATTTACTGAGAAGTAGCATCTGATAGTTTTGAGTCGTGGCACGTTGTCCTAAAATTTTAATGTTACACTGCGAAACAAAGGGTTAAGCTACCTAAAGCGTTTGAAGTGGCACACGGAGACCGTAGACAGTATGCCTACATCAGTGTTGCTCTGACAACCGGCAATTACAGTCATGAATAATCTCAGTGCCTTGTGACTGATTTTTACATTCTTTGAGGCTAATTTCTTCTCTCCAGTTTGACATTCTCACGTATGGCTTAGAGTTAAATTATCATTCCCTGTTCTTTTCAGCTGTGGGAAGAGATGTGAACTGGTTAGTAGTGTAGGATAAAAGGGCCCTTGGTTGAATGACTCGGGAAAAGTTCGAAACAGCTAGAAATCCATCTATGCATCTCCTGGGTCAACCTAGCGGTTGACGCAGTGCAACCATTGTTAAATAGCGAAACGGGAGCCTAGTTTACCCGCTGATGGCTGGTGCCTTAGAGTCTGAGACAAGTTTCCATGCTCACCTAAGCACCGCCTCTGTCTCATTGCCAGATGACTCCCAAGTCCAAGAGGAAGAGCATCCACAGCCGAATGCTGCGGCCTGTCTCCAGGGCGTTTGGTGAGTGTGCTCCCAATGCCAGTCACTTCCCTGTAACTGGAAAACAACCCCACAAAGAGTCCACAGTGCCCACAGGGACCCACTCTGTAACTAGAGAGAGGTTTGGATAGTTGGTGAGGGGCAGTAGACTTAGAAATTACTCTTCGAGGCCAGGCATGGTTGCTCGTTCCTGTGATCTTGTGAGACTGGGGTAGGAGGATGGATGTGACTTGGGGTCACCCTGGGCACATGGTGAGTTCCAGGCTAGCCTGGGTACAGAGGTACAGAGTGGGGTCCTGTCTGAAAAACAGAACAAAGCAAAACATTACTTGTAGATTTCTTAGGCTTTACTATTGGGGGTGATGGAACTGGGTTTCTCTATTCTTCCTTTTTTTTTTTTATCCCTTTCTCCCTCCTTCCCTGCCTTTCTCCCTCTCTCCTTTTTTTCCTTCCTATTTTTATTCTATTTCTGAGAAGGTCTGAGTGTGCATCCCAGGTTGGCCTGAACTCAGCAATCCTCCTGCCTTAACTTCCCCGGTGCTGGGACTGTAGCTGCACTCCACCAGGCCTGACCCTTGGAAATTGTCTCCTACCCTCTTTGCATCCCCCTTTGCTTTGGGATCTGTTTTATTTCAGAAATGGAATTTGATCTTGATAAAGCCCTGGAAGAGGTGCCGATCCACATTGAAGACCCGCCTTTCCCATCCATCCGGCAGGAGAAGCGAAGCTCAGGCTTGATCTCCGAGCTGCCCTCAGAGGAAGGCAGGAGACTGGAACACTTTACCAAGTTACGGCCCAAGCGGAACAAGAAGCAGCAGCCTACACAGGCAGCGGTAGGTGTCTACTGGGCTCCTGGGGCCCCTCCTCTCCTCCACCTCCTAAAGCTTCCATAGCTGTAAATAGTGCCACCAACTGGGGATCAAGCAAGTGTTCAAATTGGTGAGCCTGCAGGGGCATTTCTCATTTAAAACATCACAGAGATGGAGCCAGGCGAATCCCCAGAAGTCCTTGGGCTTGCTAGCCTCGCCTATGCATCAGTAGACAGCAAAGAGACCCTGCCTCAGTGAAGGTAGTAACCGACACCCGAGACTGTCCTCCGACTGTCCTCCGACTGTCCTCCGACTGTCACATGTGTGCTAGCGCTCACATATATGAACATGCATGTTCCCAGAAAAGAAAAAAGAGGTCCTCCGCTCTCTGGTCTGGCCTGGTGTCTCCTCTTTGCTGCTGGTTGATTCCATATGGACTTATTTTCAGAACCTCTGCCGAGCTCTGCATTTTTAGATCTGGAATGTTCTGGAACATCTCAGGCTAAACAATTTCCAAACTAAGATCCTATCTTGCCTGTCACCCTGTTTTTCCTTGTTTATCCCCTGTCCCCTTCAGGGTTTCATCCGCTGACATGTTAAAAATCTGGCTGTAGCTGGGCATAGGGGCACATCTCTTTAATCCCAGTATGTGGGAGACAGAGGCAGGTGGATCTCTGTGAGTTCAAGGCTAACCTGGTCTACGTAGCAAGCATTCCAGGCCTTCCAAGGCTACAGAGAGAAACCTTGTCTCTCTCAAAAACAAAACAAAACAAAACAAAAACAAAAAAAGGAAACAAAAAAACCTAACCAGCAAACAAAAACAAACAGGCAAACCCTGACTGCACCACCACCATCCACTTAATTATCCCTAACTCCTGTCCTGACTGCTGGCTTCTCTCCATCCTCATTTCTCACGGCTTTCCCTGGAGCTGATGATGACTGGAAGGCCTTTCAGATCTCCATGGAAACAAAACTTCTTCCGGAGAGCCCTCCTTGCCTCTTCCTCTCTGGTCCTACAGAGTTGCAGGGGAAAGTGGCTCTCATGAACTTGTGCTTGATGCAGAGAGCTTGTGAAACCCACCTTGGGAATAGGTACTTACCCAGAGATGGCTCTCATCACCTATTCCCAGCTCTCCCCTCTTTGCCTGTGGCTTGCAGGGAATCATGGCGTGTGACTCATAGCCTGTAGAAATGTGCCCGATGCTGTGGGTTGGGAATACGAGCGGTGAGTGCTCAGCAGTGGTTGTCAGATTAATTGGGGAGAGCTGAGAGCACAGACGGCTCAAGGGTTTCTCCACTTGTCCCCGCGGTCAGTAGTTCACTTTACAAGATCGGTGTTTAGATGTGTTCATTTGAATCTGAAGAGCTGGCATAGAGTCATGGTTTCCAGCTTATTTGATTTTAGATTCTTACTACAGCATTATGTAAGCTAAGATGTATAAGCAGTTATTGCTATTTTATTTTAAGTGAGAGGGGCTTATCAGATAAAGAAAGAGACACTTTCCCTTTTGCTGGCTCAGATTCTGTCCTCTAGATTGTTGTGAATGGCCCCTCTTTGGCTGTCGCTTCTGCAATCATTAGCAGCATGACCTGAATGTGAAGTGATGGGCTCAGTGTCTCTGTGCCCTTGGAGAGAAACATCTTGTGGGTTTGTGTATTCGCTTATTTATTCTGCTTTTATGATTCTGGGGACTAAACTCCGCAGTCATGTGCAAGTTATTTTTTCTTCCTGCATTTAAAAAACCAAAAAGAACCAGGCATGGCGGTTCATGCCTATAATCTTAGAGGCTGTGAGGCTAAGGGAGGAGGATCAGGACTTGCAGGGGTGTCCTTCAATACACATCATGCTGGGAGCAGCCAGGAGGCCCACTGAGACATAATACAAGAAGGACCACAGAGGAGCAGAGGAGCGTGGGCATTTTTGGGTATACAGTGAAGGTACATTCATTACCATATAATTTCTCCAGGCTCACTGTCTCCTGAGTACTGTCTCTTACAACAGCCTTATTAGGGGTCACTCACATTTTCCAGGTACACATCAGGAAGAAGCAAAAAGAGAGCAATGTAACTGAACAACATGGTTTCAGCTGCTTTCATTACTAGTGTTTAGTCTCAACAATTGTCTGATGTGACCATCAGGGTTTTTACCAGGACTGTGTACTGTGTAGAACCAGCTCATCTTGAATTGATCTTGGCGTGTCTGAAGTCTGCCTTTGACCTCCACTGCACCATTGAGCTACCTGAGACATCAGAATTCTGAAAATCAAGGCTGGTTCAGATGACCACATGCCACTGTGACTGTGGCTGACCAGGCATCTGCCCTGCAGGCTTTAGCTGTTCCCTGTGCTCATGCAAAAGCAAGATCTTTGTAAAAACAAGAATAGTTTATTCGTTCCCTTTTCTTTCCACTTATTAAAGTTTATGTGCATTCTCTTAGACATATATGATAACTGGTCAGTCCCTCAAATTGTTCTTAAGGCCATTTTAGTAATTTATATTTTCATAGAATATTATCCATTTGATAAAATTTATTGTTTACATAGAATTAGAATTTGAATTGCTCTTAACTATTATTAACTGTCTCTCTCTCTGTTTTTAATTAGTTAATATTTTCTTCTTGTTTTATTTGTCTATCTATCTATCTATCTATCTATCTATCTATCTATCTATCTATCTATCTATTGTTTCTTTTGAGATAGCATTTCACTGTGTAGCTCTGGCTGTCCTGGAACTCATTTTATAGACCAGGCTGGCCTTGAGCTCACAGAGATTCACCTGCATCTACCTCCTGATTGCTGGGATTAAAGCGCCTGGCCCTGGTTTTATTTTTTGAGACAAGATTTTACTTGATCCCTAGGCTAGCCTCAACTTCACTATGCAGCCTAGGGCTGACCTAGAACTTATGGCAATCCTCCAACCTTACCCTTCCCAGTACTGGAGTCCAGGCTTGACCCACCGTGCTCAGCCCCCATTCCTGATTTTTTAAAATGCCTTTCAAGCATTGTGAAGCTGTTTCAATAGTCTGTTTTCCGTTTCCCTCCACCTCTCTACCTCCGAAGTCCATTGCATATTCTCTATTGCCTGACTTTATGCATTTCTGTCTAATTTCCTTTAAATGTCTGTCTTCCTTGTTCGTTGCTATGGGAGGCATGTGTGGAAGGTGTGTGGTGACTCAGCTTCCTAAGGGGTTCTCTCTGGCACACTTGCTCACAGTGTCTCTAACAGGCCTGCAAACACTTACTTCAGATCCAGATGTCCCCCACGTCCCCGAGGGTTCTGCTCAGTCACCTGGTGAGGGAGACAAGAGGGTGGTCTGAACTGCCTTTAACCTCACGTCCATTTACCTTCTCATCATCCACAAGTTAACCTTTCAGAGAGTGTGCATTCACTGAAGGTGCAGGGCACCAGTGACTTACCTGAGGAAGCGAGACAGCTCCCTCCCGAGGCGCGTGCTCCCGTCCATGCAGGGTGATCCTTGCTCTCCCTCGCCAGAAGCCCTGTTGCTCTTTGTATCTGAGGCTGACTCTGGATGACAGAAGAGACTTGAATCACAGCACAGCTTTTCCTTGTGCTGGTAAATGAGTGTTAACAGCATGTGCTTTGGCCTTGGACTCTATTGACCTGATTCTACTCCTCACAGTCTGCGTTTTGGCTGCTCTTCCCAGGCCAGCGCCATCTGAACTTCCCTTTAACTGCCGCCTTTTGAAGCGTCGCCTGCCATTTAGCCAGCCATGCTGGGTATCTCTTAACATGTCTCCTCTGTTCTTTACCTCTGAAATGTCAGGAGTGCATTGCGGGAGCTGGGAAGGACAGCCCAGCCCTTTAAGTTGCTGCGCCTGCAGGAAGCTGAACTACGTTCAGTTTCTCCCTCCATCTCTGGGGCCTCCATGCTTTTTGTACTACCAGGGAACTCGGGGGCCAGCTATGGATTCTGTTGTCAAAGCAGAAAAAAACAAAAGGGCTAAGTGAATGAGAAAAATATAACCCTGTATGTATTGGCTCGGAAAGGGGAATGATTGGTGAGCCAGCTAAAGGAAGCCACTCCTGGCTATCCTCATGTCTTCCCAGTACTGAGATTGTGGTTGTCTTTGTAGAATTTCGCAAATATGAATGTTTCAGTCTGTTTGATCCTGCCATACAAATTCCCCATCATGCTTCGTTTACAGTACATTTTGTAAACCTGTTTAGTGGGCGAATGTGGTGATACATGCCTATAATCCCAGCACTAGTGAGGCAGAAGCCGAAGGACCACTGCAAGTTCAAAACCAGCCTGATTCACATAATGAGTTCTAGGCCAGTCGGGGCAACTAGCTGAGACTGTCTCAAAACCTGTCCCCACCTACAGCCGTACCATGCTGGACATGCATGATGTCATCAAAGCGTGTCTCCCACAGTCACCAGCATCAGGCTTAGCATGCTATAAACCCATTCCTTCCTCACTAGGTTGTGGCTCTACACCTGGCCTCTGTTTCTGTAAATCACGTGGTCCCTGTTGTAGTGAGTCATGGCCGTGTTGTAGGTTGTTGAGGCTAGCAGAACTGAAGGTGCATTGGTTGACTGTGGAGTGAGGTCCTGTTTGTTTTGCAGATCTGTACCGTCAACATCGTCCCCCATGATGGAGAACAGAACGGCCTCATGGGCAGAGTGGATGAAGGTGTAGACGAATTTTTCACCAAGAAGGTGACTAAAATGGACAGCAAGTAAGTTTCCAGTCATTTCATTAAGAATGGTATTTCACTCACGTCTAAATGGCTAATGGATGTAATTTATATAGGCATCACGGTCTCATGCAAGAGATTTACTATTTGGATTTCTAAAACGTGGTCTCTAACAAAGCATCATGAGTGTTGCTTGGGAACGTGTTAGAAATTCAAATTCTCAAGCTCTTGCCACGGACCTGCTGAACTAAGAACTGGGGGCCTGTTTCATAGCAGTGCACATGGCATCCAGGCCAGACTGCTGCTGTGCCGGGGCTTCTCTCACATCCCCTGGAAGAGTCTGTTCCAGGGCACCGAGCATCCTTTGAACTTTTCTATTCATAATTTGATCTGTTGGCTAGCTGGGCAGCAAAGTGACTGGGAGAGGTGGGGCAGTGTTCTCTGACTTACCCTGTTTTGTAGCTGGTTTTGTCAACTTGACAGTCTCTAGATCACTAGTAGACAAGACAAGCCTCTAGGCATGATGGTGAGGGAATATCTAGATTACGTTACTAGAGATGGGAAGATGCAAACTGATTGCAGGTGTATATTGCATCCAGTCCCAGACCACAGGAAAAGGAAAAAGCCAGCTGAGCATGCTCCCTTCTGCCTATAGATGTACAGTGCACACTGTCCCCGTGACTTCCTCTCTGTGATGGACTGTACCCTGGCACTGTGAGCCAAAGCAAGCCCTCCTCCCTTCCTTAAGTAGCTTTTGTCTCTGGATGTTCATCACAAGAGGAATGCTAACTACTGTGCCCTCTAAGAACTTTTCTCTACATTTTCTTTACTAGAATGTTGTTTCCTTAAAAGAAAGTTCAATACTTTATCTTGACCTGGGCATGGTGGCACTTGCTTAGAGCCCTAGCACCCAGAGATTGGGGCAGGCAGATTAATATAAATGTGAAGCCTGGAATACATAGTGAATTTCAGGACAGCCTGAGCTATATGACTCTGCCTCAACCCCACCTCCAAAATATTGTTCAACTTAAAACACTCCTATTTTTCTACGTGATTTTTCTGAACTTATTCGATCTGTTACTAAAAGCTGATACATCTCAGGACAGACTCGAAGCTTGGGTTGTCTTTGTGAACAATGCTTCACCTTAGAGATGAAGTTCAGGATTGGATTAAACCTTGCAGATAGCTGAGGGCAGGCAGACAGGAGAGCTAGGGAAGGGCCTGTCGGAGCTGTGATTGATGAGTCTTATCTATCCTTTGCAGGATGGCAAAGCAAAAATAAGTTAAGTTTCATATCCATGGCAGTGGAGCTTATAGACGCCTGCGAGCTTTAACATCTAATAATTGGTTGTCGTTGACACTCGTCTTGCAGCTTAGCGTAGCATCACTTGGCAGAATTCTTTCTTTCAAGACCCACCAATACATCCTTTATTCTTTGATAGTTTCCTATAATGCTTCATTCCCACAGATTAATCCCTGCTGATCCCTGGCATCGTGCCCCCCCCCCCCTCTGTACACATCTGTAGTGTGCATCTTCAAGAGTCTGCTTGGATTTGGGTTGTTTTATAATACAAGGATTAGAGGACTGTATTTTTCAACTTAAAAGAGTCAAGAAACACCAAAACAAACAGCATAATGGAAAATTTCCTCTTGATGAATTGCTGCCTTCCTCACACAGAATACTGTTCCAGATCAGTACCTGGGTCTTATTCCCCCCCCCCCCTTAACACTTCAGAATCTTTTATTGTTTTATATTTTATATTTTCCATTGTTTGCTTTGCAATTTTATTATGTTTTTGAGACAGATTCACGGTGAATCTCATGCTAGTGTGGAATTCACTAAGCAGCCCAGAAAAAAATTCATACTCACAGTCATCCTCCTGCCTCAGGCTCCCTCCTGCCTCAGCTCCTACATGCTAGGGTTCGGGGTGTACACTGGCATATGCAGGAACTTCAGAACCGTAGTACAGGCTACAGTAGTTAATGGCCAATAGCCACTGCTGATCAACACGCCAGATAGCTGGCCTGCATCTGTGTAATTACAGATACAACTGCTGGCTCTTCTTCAACCAGCCTGTATGAGTGGGGAATGTGTGCGCGCTGGGTGTGGACCCAGTGCTCTGGCCCACCTGTCCCACCCTGACTTCCCCTCTTGATCACGCAGCTTTGTTTTTCAGTTGTCTTGGACAGCTATCTGGGTGCATTCGTAATATGTGACGTCTATTTCCACAAAGATGTTAGTCCCAAATTCTGGGCGTGTTTCTGTGTGCAAGACTAGATGGCTTAACTTTCATCGACCTACAAAAAGTTGTAATTTTTTTAAACTGCATTTTCCTATGAAAATAGGTTCTCACTTAGACATTATAGGGCGTGGCGTTAGGTAAAACAGCATAAGTTAGTGCAAAGAAAGTTTGAGATCCAGTGTTATGTGCTCATAGTTTTAAATGTTAAAGCGAGCTACAAGGCTTAAATTAAAAAAAACAAAAAAAAAAACAAAAAGCGAAAACATCTCTTTTCTCATTTCCTGCTTCCAAGAGGTGACTGGGTTTTATTCCATTAATTGTTAACTTTTCTTCTTTTTTTAAAATGTTTTTCTCCTATTTTTTCATTTTTAGTTTCAGATAGTAATTCTGTCAACATTTGACTACAGAGGATGATAGTATATCCTGTCTACTCTCTGACTCTACTGAATTTTCTCTCTCTCTTGACTTTCTCCATTTAATATAATTTTTGTTAGCTAGCTATTCAGGGGTTGTTTCAGTGTGCCTCACTCTAGCCCTGGAAGTATCCACACCTGACTTACATGGTACACTCTGGTCGCGCTTCCTCTCCTGTAGATTTTCTTTTCCCTGGAAGCTCTTCATCACTTTTTGCTTAGTTTTCACACAAGGCTCTCATTTACTCACTTCTTTAACTCCCCTTCAAAGCACAAATCTGTGAGTTCTCACTCATGTTCTCTGTCGGGTCTTCTTAGACACATCTCACCCTGGGCGGGGGACTGCTAGGGAGGCATTTCCTTCATCCTCGGCAAGTGGATTCCCTTCCTCACATCCCTGTGTCTTATCTGCCTCTCGGAGTCTGAGGTTTACACCCTCATTTTGGTGGATTTCCTCTTGTGCTGACTTTCTAAGAGATGAGGCGTTGGCCGTGCATTTCTGTAAGGTTCAGATCTTTCATTGTGAGTGATAGTGTTGCTGGGTATGGGACTGGAGGCTGGAATATATGTTGCTTTAGAATTCTGAAAACATTGTTCCCTAATTTTCTATCTTCTAGAGTTCTCATAAGAACCCAGTGTCACCTTGAGTCCTGATCCTTTGTGACGTGGTTTTGCTTTTTTCTCTTCTCTGGAAACATTTGGGATGTGTCTGTATTTTCAGTGTACCCAGATTTTATGATGCTGTATTTTAGAGGGGGTGCTGGTTTGTCTATCCAGTTTATTGGTACACATAAAATGTTTGACTCTTAAAATTCATGTTCTTTGGTTCTGAAGTTTTTATTGTTTCTTTTGTAAATTTCTTCTGTTTCCTCTACACACTATCGGTTAAACTTCCTTTATTTGAGTTGGGTTGTGGTGGTGCACACCTTTAATTCCAGCACTCAGGGAGAAAGAGATGGGTGGATCTCTGTGAGTTTGAGGCCAGCCTGGTCTACAGGGTGAATTCTAGGACAGCCAGAGATACACAGAGAAACTTTGTCTCAGAAAACGAAACCAAACCAAACCAAAACAACAACAACAACAAAAATACTTCCTTTATTCAACCTGGTATTTCCTCTGCTAATCTATTAATTCTCACCATCTCCCTTCCAGTTCCTTATTCTTAGTTCCTTCCCGACATTCCAGTTGTACATTTTAGTTGTACTGTTTAGCCTTTAATGTTCTACTTCTGTCTCATTCGGTTTTATTCCTGTTTTGTGGCCACGCCATACCCTTGGTTGCACTATTTCTCTGGCTCACTCTACAGGCAATGAATTTGGGGTGGACTGGACATTGTTGACCCTTTGGCTTGGGAAGAGGAAATACTACTTGGTGAACTGGCTTTCAGCCACCCCTCCCCCCATTTCTCAGCTTCTCAGCCCTTGCTCTGCAGTCTAGCTGCCCCTAGACCTCCAGTTTTATTTCAATTGCTCAGATCCGTGAAGCTATTTTGTATTCTTTGGGCTTCCAAGTGGTGTTGTCTGTTCTCGCCTGTATGGTTTTTGAGGTTTGTGGTTGTTCATTTTGTGTTTATCCTGGCTTCTGGTTTTGATGGAGTTTCTAGGGAGTTAAGGGGAGGTCCAGGCTCTAGCTTTGAGTGGCAGATTCCTTGTGGCACTCATTTTGTTTGTTCTTTTTCTCCATTCCCCACATTCCTATGTTTTTTTTTTCCTCTCTGAAAATCATCCTAAAATTTAAACTTATTCTGTCTAGTTTTGTTTTTACAAAGTCTCTTATAACCTAACCTGCTGGTAGACTTTATATAGCTGAGGCTGGCCTTGAACTCCTGACCCTCCTACTCCATCTCACAAATACTAGCAGCACAGGTATTGTATCAGCCCCCGAGCCTTGAGTCTTTTATTTTGTTACTTCTTCTGATAATTTATTCCATTTAAGCAAAGATCCACACACTTGCCAGCATTGAGCAAATATGTTGGATTTCACCAATTCCCTAGTAATTAACAGATACCCAAAGATGCCCTTTTCAGTATCCCCCAAATTAAACAGTCAGTCCAGAAGTTCACATTTAAGCCTCTAATCATTACGAAGGTCTGTCCTCAATCCTGCCTGACTCCTTCAGATGAGCGCACAATCTGCATGCTTCGTGTCCTCATGGCTAGCCTGAACTCTTCTGTCCCTAAGCACAGGCTTAACATTTGCAGTGCTATGGAAGGTGACTGGTCATGCAGCAGTCATCTTCACGTTCATTGGCTAAGTCCTCGTGGTACTTGTCTTCACGGTCAAGCAATAGTTTCTGTGTCCTGATTGTGGTGCAGGAGGTCATCCACACGCTGCTCAGATACCCATGAACTGAGCGAAGGAGATGAGAAAAAGAAACGGGATTCTCGGAGAAGTGGCTTTCTCAACCTAATCAAATCGCGGTCCAGATCTGAGCGGCCACCCACGGTCCTGATGCCGGAAGAGCTCTCCTCCCCAAAGGGGGCAATCCGGAGTCCACCGGTAGACACGGCCAGGAAGGACATAAAGGCAGCTGAGCATAATGGTGCTGCGGAGCGCACGGAGGAGACGAAGACACCGGAACCCCTGGAGGAGGGCCTGGCAGAGGAGGCAGGCAGGACCGAGCGCAGCGACAGCAGGGGTAGCCCACAGGCTGGCCGGCGCTACGTGCAAATGATGGGCAGCGGGCTGCTGGCTGAGATGAAGGCCAAGCAGGAGCGGAGAGCTGCGAGCGCACAGAAGGTGAGGAGAGGGCCCTGCGTTGGCTTCTCTAGTTTTATGGAAAAAGAGGTGCAGAAAAATAGCTTGTTGGTTAAATGAAAATATAAATACTGGGTGCCCAAGAGATGAGCCTGTGGTTAAGAGCACTGTGGCTCTTGTAAAGGACCCTGGTTCAGTTCCCAGAACCCGCACAGTGATTTCTAAGCATCAACCACTTCATTTCCAGGGGACCATGCACCCTCTTCCAAACTCTGAGCGCCAGACATGCATGAGGTGCACATGCTTACACATGCCAACAAATCACCCGTGCACATAAAATATATTATACAAAGAAAATGTCTTAAACATGTAAAACCTAAAGATTTATTCCCAAAGAATTTAGAGCCCAGACCCAGAACGACTTGCTTGTCCTCACTGCCCCAGGCCATGCCTTGAGTGTTTAATCTGTTGATTGTTTGGAGACAGGGTTTCACACACGAACACAGGCTCACCTCAAACTCACTTTGTGGCTCAGGTTGGTGTCAGATTCACCGTGTAGCACTGGGTGCCGCAAGCCCTGGTGATCCCCGTTTCAGTCCCCCTACCCCTTCCTGGGGTTACTGTCCAGCTCAGAGCTACACTCTTGAGAGGCACGTGAGAGACACTGTTTCTGAGAAATAAGCTGTGCCCCACCTACCTGTCTTCCTGTGCTGTCAATAGAAGCCTGCAAGAACTGGTCCCAAATAAGACTGGCCTGGGTGAACCTGAGTGGAGATGCTGAGGTTCGCTGGAGGTGGCAGAACCAACGGGCCAAGAACAGATGGCAGGCAGATAATCTCAAAGGCCCACTCCGTGCCCCATGTAGTTCCTAGCTTAACCTGTTCCCAGGCTTCAAAGTCCTTTGCATCATTCCAGATTTAAATGGCAAAACGAAAAGTCAGGGTGTCCTGTTAGGACTGTTAGATTACCAAGTCCACTACTGCCGCTATGAAGACATCAGCGCTGGTTTAGAAGTTGCTAAGTCTCAGGGACAAGGCAGAGTGGCAGCTTAGTGGTAGAGTGTTTGCCTGGCATGTCTAAGAATCTGAGTTCATTCCCCAGCACAGCAGAGGATAATTTTGAAAAGAGAAGAAAAATAATATGTTGAGTCTCCTCAAAGTTCAATTTAAACATAGTTTACCTACCTTCCTCCCTCCATTCCTGCAAGCTTTGTGTTCCTCAAGATCAAGCCCCACAGGGTCTTACACAAGTTACATAATCAGCCTCCACCGGGCTGCATTCCCAGCTGTGCTTCTGCTCTGGAGTCTCTTTTTCAGAATGCTGCCTATTTGCTTCCGTCGTTTCTTAAAGGAAGGTATCCTTGCGGTAGTTACTAAGATAAATGTGCCCAGGTTGTACGCATCATCGTGAGGTCTGAGAAGCCCTCCTCCCACCCCTGAGAAAGAGAAGCTGTGCGTGTTTGTCTCCAGGCCTCAGAAGAAAATGATTGTTCCTCCCAGGGGACCTTGGCTTAGAGGAGGTACAGGTGGACTGCCCAGCAGATCCAGAGGACTTCTCTATTGCCTCTTAACAGCCGCTGTTGGTTAAACTCTGCATCCCATAAGATTCTGCAGCTGCTCACCGTAGCTCTTCTACTGTCCAGCAGTTTCCCAGCTACAGATACCTGCTTTGCTTCCCCACAGACCCTTACTATAGCTCAAAGATGGGAGAGCCTACATAGCAGCCCCCTTCCTGTTGGTGCCGAAGGGAGTCAGTATTGACCTTCACCATGCAGAATACTGAAAAATCACCCCATCCCTACCATGAGCCAGATGCCTGCATAGTTTATAAATTTCCACCAGCTGATGTGGTGTTTTCCTAATGAACTGTTTATCTCTCTTTCCTGTGATGAGCGGCTAATTTTGCTGAGAAGACAGGAGTGCCGGGGTACTTTCCCATGTGTTTAGGATTGATACATAAATTGGCCCAGAGCGACGAATCTTTCTGGTTTAGTGTTTGCGCTTGGTCCAGGTTTATGGAAATGTTCTCATAGTGCCATCTAGTGTTCTTCTAAACAGCCTTTGTTAAAAAAAAAAAAAAAGAAAGAAATCTTCAGTGATTACAGTTTAGACAGTCATGGCTATTCTACCAGAATAATAAAAGCTTTCTAAAAAAAAAAAAAAAAATTACTGTTAGAATGTTTTCTGAAATGTACCACTGAGTTGTTTACAGGTAGTAATGTAAGCATCCATGGTTGATGTACAGGTGACCCTACTGCTGGAAGAGCAGAGAGAGGGCACCAAGGATGCAAATGTTCCAATTGCTTTACAAACTTTATTGACTTGGTGTGTATATATTTGTGTGGTACAGTGCATGTATGGAAGTTAGAGAAAAACCTGCAGGAGTCAGTCCTTCCTCCACTTGGTGAAGGGACACTAACCCACCGGAGCCTGCCGTTCTCGCGGGCCTTGCCCTTCTCCCCCATTCCACATCTGCCTTGCCTAAAGCCGCTAGATTATAATCCAAAAGCTGGCCACCACGGCTCAGCTATCAAAGTAGTAGAGCCCAGCAATCAAAAGCCCCCTTTGGCTCACCTAATTAACATTCCCAGTTGACATCAGACACCTTAACCTAACACGGGGTTTCCCCATTTATCTTCATAAGCCTTCATTTTTCTATGTACCACGTCCGCCTCCCCTCTATCCAGAGACGTTCCTCTGCCCCTCTGGAACAGATATCCCTGTCCCCGCTCCCTTGTTCTCTTCCCCTTCTCCCTCGTCCTCTATCTCCTGTCTCTTATTCCTTGCCTTTTGTCCTTCTGAGGCAAATTAGTGTCCTTTGTGCTGAGGACTTGGCCTTTAGGGTCCTGAGCCAATACCGGTCCTTTCACATGGTGCCATGACTCAGATTTGGGTTCCAGGGATTGAACACGTGTTTTTAGACTTGACAGAAAGCCCCTTTACCTGCTGACCCAGCTCTCTGCCCTCGCTTTTACTTTTAAAAATGGGTTTCCTGGGGGCTGGAGAGATGGCTCAGTGGTTAAAAGCACTGACTACTCTTCCAGAGGTCCTGAGTTCAATTCCTAGCAACCACATGGTGGCTCACAACCACCTATAATGAGATCTGGTGCCCTCTTCTGGCCTACAGACAGGATACTGTATATATATA